CGACTTCGGGTCTGAGACTTCCAATAAACCCACCACCGGTCAACCTCCGAAAGCGAAGCGTGCTCCGGCCGTTGCCGACGAGATGATGGAGAAGTCGAGACAGACGGGAGACGTGAGGGTCTATGCCCACTACTTCCGTAGTCTGAGCTTAACGTCAACCGTCATCTTCGTTCTCTTCTCCGCATCATACTCCGTGTGGAACCAATTTCCTACGATTTGGATGAAGTACTGGGCCGAAGATACCCTTCACAAGAGCAGTGGATACTATGTCGGATTGTTCGGCCTCTTCAAGGCGTTGCAGCTCGTTTCTCTCATGGTGGCAGGTGTTGCCTTGATCATCTACATGACCACTTCCTCCGGCACCATTCTACATCAGCAAGCGTTGAAGACTGTCATCCACGCGCCTCTCACATTCTTCACCACAACAGACTCTGGCGTCATCACAAATCTCTTCTCCCAAGACATGACACTCATCGACAACGAGCTACCGATGGCGCTGCTTAATGCGGTGCTTGCCGGATTCGAGTCAATAGGTATGGGTGCTGTGGTCGCCGTTGCATCCCCTTACATGGCTGTTAGCTATCCCATGTTGATTGCTTTCTGTTGGGTAATCCAAAAGTTCTACCTTCGGACTTCTCGCCAACTACGACTCCTGGATCTCGAGTCCAAAAGCCCATTGTAGTATGTACACGAAAGACTAGGCGGCTATAGAGTATCTGACTAACAGTTGCTAGCACGCATTTCCTTGACACCATCAAGGGCGTCGCCACAATACGTGCCTTTGGCTGGGCACACAAGGACATTGCCCACAACCAGCACATGTTGGATACCTCGCAACGACCGGCATATTTACTCGCCATGATCCAGCAATGGCTCGTCGTTACTATGCAGCTCATGGTGGCCGGTTTGGCCGTCGTTCTTGTGACCCTTGCCACCCAGCTCCGGGCCAACTCAGGCTTCACTGGTGCCTCTCTAGTCACTCTGATGTCGTGGGGCGAAACCCTTTCATCACTCGTCCGGTTCTACACCCAGCTCGAGACTTCGATCGGTGCCGTTTCTCGTATCAAGACCTTTTCCGAGAAGGTTAGCCCTGAAGACCTGGAAGGTGAGGATATCGAGCCGCCTGAAGAGTGGCCCGAGACTGGGCGAATCGAGATCCACGGCGTCTCTGCCTCATACAAGTAAGTTGAGCCCAACCAGTTTGTGGACGGCGCTGACAATATGGAAAGCAACGAACAGCAAGCAACATCGGATGGTGCGACAACTCCTCCGCATCTCGCATTGAAAGACCTCAATTTCTCCATCCAACCTGGCCAGAAGGTTGCACTATGTGGCAGAACGGGAAGGTAAGTTGCCTTTTACATCGGACTGCCCAGGAAGCGTATGAATGCTGATCTCACTTCCTTAGTGGCAAATCATCTCTGATTCTTCTTCTCCTCCGGCTTCTGGACCCGGCATCGTCCTCTCCAAAGAACATCGAGATGGACGGCATTCCCTTCCACCGCATCGACCGCTCAACTCTCCGCCGCCGCATCATCTCCGTGCCCCAAGATGCCGTGTTCCTCCCCGATGGCAGCACCATAAAGGCAAACATCGACCCTTTCAACGCAGCCACAGACGCAGAGTGCTTCTCAGTCCTCCGCGCTGTGCAACTCGGCACCTTTGTCGAAGAGCGCGGTGGCCTGCGCGAGTCCATGAGCGCAGACAGTCTTAGCGCGGGACAGAAGCAGCTGTTCAGCCTTGGGCGGGCGATCCTGCGACGCCGGGTCAAAGACGCCAAGTTCAAGCGGCGCGGCGGCGGGATCTTGTTGTTGGATGAGGTCAGCTCCAGCGTCGATCACGCGACGGATAGGTTGATGCAGGAGATTATCAAGGAGGAGTTTAGGACGTATACGATTGTGATGGTGTCGCATCGCCTGGATATGGTGATGGACTTCTTTGATGCGGTGATCGTCATGGATCAGGGGCGCGTCATCGAGACGGGCAGCCCGAAGGAGCTTGTTGAGACGGAGGGGAGTCGGTTTGGTGAGCTGTGGGCGATTGAGAATCAGGGACGGTCGAGGGATCCTGTCAGGTAGCTATGGGTCTTGGCAGAGGCATCACTGTAGGAAGCGAATGATTTTGATTAATAAAGAAGATGTTCTGGTATGACAGTCCTTGAAAATGGGAGAGAACATTCAACATAGGAGACAATATTAACACGGGAGGGGATCGATGCGGTACGCGGGGCCAGGCAAAGAATGAGCATCTTCTGTTCAGCATTTTACCCCAATTCCGTAGCAAACACTCGGGAGCAAACATCCTCTGTTTACCCGTCCAAATCCTGTAAGTATCGTCAAAGAATGAATCTCTTCTGTTCACACATCCCAGTCCCACAAGTCATATCGATGAATGGGCATCTTCTGTTCACTTGTGCTGTTTGTTTCAATTCTATAAGTAGACACTCAAGAATGAGCATCTGGTGTTTCCTTCCCTTGCTTCCATAAGAAACCACACCACGACCACAAAGCTTGACCTTTATCATCCTCTCACTACGAATCGATTCCAGTTTCAAAACTGCAGCATGGCCGCGGCATCGCATACTTACAGGGTTGTAGCCCTCGGAGATGATTTCCAGTTAAACATACGCGTCGACCCAGAGAAGCCAGAATTCCACCACGAAATTGTGGAGGGAAGTTCCGCAATCACCGCAATTGCAGCACATCGTTCCTGCTACACCAAAGAACTGGTGAATGCTTTAAGAACCGATAATCGCAGAAACCTCTTGACCAAAATCGACGTCCATGTGCAGGGTGGAGTCGGGAGGGACCATTATGGCCATATGGTGAAGTCTCTACTGGGGACAATGGGACCCAATACAGACAGCATCAAAGAATGCTATTTCAAGAGAACCAACGTCAACATCCACCTCATACGACCCAACGGAGAGGAACGAATTCGGTTGAATCCTGCTGAAACACTGGCTACATCCACCCAATGGATGGAAAATTTCAGCTTCATTCCCGAATCCGTTGACAAACGCGTACATAAGGTCTTCATACCAGGTGCGGTCGTCATTTCTACAGAATTTGAAGAGAAGGTCTTTGATTACATACTCAAGACTGCTGCACGCGAGCGTATGAAGGTCTGCTTGGGCAAGGTGCCTTCCTATGGTATTACCGAGGACCAGTTGAAACTCATAAATTATCTTGTGGTTACTGAGGAGGAACTTCAGATTTTCCCTCAATGCAGCCAGTTGGAAAAAATGTTTGAGAGGGGTGTAGAATTGGTTGGGTTGGGTGTAGAGCATGTGATTATAACCAAAGGACACACGAAAGCTACCTACTTCTGGAAGGGGGGGTCGAGTGCATACCTTTGTGATTTCAAGGAGAATCATCGCAAAGGCAATTATAATGCCATCGAAAGGTAAGCAGCTTTTCTCCCTCTTCAATGTCTCCCAACTTCAACACTGACACAGGCGACAAGGGACACATTCACGGCGACATTCGCAGCGGGTATTACTGAGCATCGAGCTGGAAACAAAGGGGCTGTGGATTCAGATTTTTTGGGTAAGTTAGTCAGAAATGCGTGTGCAGCTGCTGCGCTTGTTGGTTCGAGAGACGGTGCGCCACAGGATATCATTCCATGGTCTGAGGAGATCGAGGCGTTTTCGTAGCCATACACTCATATGCTCCTTCATGGTATGCAAGGCCCGCGTCGATTTACTTTTCTCAGTCTCCTTTTTCTAGTCTTTTCGTTCTTCATCATTTCATGATTTTCTCTTCCTTCCCTGAAATATCTATAGATATAATGTTTTCCCTCCCTTTCTCGTCCTCTCGAAGGCCGAAATACTGTTTTTCTTACTATTTGTCTTAGAACCCCACCAAAAAGAAAAAAAAAAAAAAAAAAAAAACCCCCCACATCATTTTTAGACTATTAATCATTCATTATCATATTGTGAAGTGGTGGTAATGTTTGCAACTAAGTTGAGAGCCAATTGAAGAGACAACGTCTGTCAAATCTTTTGGCCGTGTCCGATCTTACAGGCTGGCTGAAATACGATGAGCAGCGGGCTTGACTTTCATGTTACCATCTAGCTTAAGCCATGGTGCTCAGGTCATCAGAAGAGCCGCCATTCAGGAAATTTGGCCTCCGGAATCTGTTTAGAGACTGTATGGACGTTGTATCGGAGTGTGAACGAGCCTGCGTTAGTGTCTCCTTTTGTAACACTTGACCAGTCAGCTTCCAGGAAAGCACTGGCGGTGAATCTTAACCGCCAAAGCTGCGTATCTTACCTGGCCGATTGTTGGCTACATGAGGCTCTGCATTGTAGTGTAAATAAACTTGCCCTTCTTTGTTCTGCAGCAGGGAGCAGGCCGTGGGCTATCAGAGGTGACCTGTCTTGGCAGGTATCACAGCCTTGTTGCTGCTTGCATGTATTGTTACCATTCTTAGCCTAAGGTATGATATTGGCGTACCTAGGTCTGGTGTCATATGAACAGTGCTACCGTGTTGCATAGCTAAGTGGCTCTCATATACTGATCTTCCCTGATTGAGCCCAATAGCAGGCCGTCACTGAATGATCGGAAAGGGTGTTGACTTGTTGACTCTCTATAGTGTTGGTAGGCGACGTATGTAATGTACTAAAAGCTGTCCAGCAACAACATGAAGATGCCACACCGCTCCTTGGAGAACCATCTTTCGATTGCCCGACGGCTATAAGTTGTTGCCTCAATACACTATCATAAGGCCTCATGTCTGACACATTACACCACCTACCGCAGAGTATTCCATTCATTGAGACTAGTACTTGAGGTAGGATGGGGTGGTCTCGTAAGTCACAATTGGGAAGCGTTGAATGGAAAGTGAGTGAGCGCCCTGACTTTACCGTTATCATCGCAAAAAGTAACGGAAAGACTCAGCCAAGAGCTTGTTGAGTCGGTAAGGAGTCGGTCAGATGAGCTCTGGGCGATTGACATCCAGGGGCTAGGGAAAATACGCGTAACACGAACATTACCAATATGGGGAGACATCAACACCGTGATGGACAGAAGTTTTGACTACAAGAAAGGGGCTCTGCATTGGTATTGAACTTAGTCCGGGAGTCATGTTGGAGGTGTCCCATCCAGGTCTGAGGTCGCAATTTCTTTGAGCCGCGCAGACATGGACATCCCCGGGTCGATATGAGCACGGGCAGACAAAGAAGGAGGGTCTTCTGTTCAAACACTCCAGTCCTATTAATAACCATCACCGTCACGACCGGCCGGTTTTACGATTCCCGACGTGCTAACATCAAACACCCTTACGATCGACAGTTACAGGATTGGACCCGAGATGAAGACCATCGCAGTTATTGGGGCGCTGGGCGTTGATCACATCATGATCGTACCCCGGTTTCCAAAGACAGGAGAGAGCATTAGAGCAAGTCATTCCGAGAAAGCCTTGAGCGGAAAGGGTGCAAACACAGCGCTCTCGACATACCGCTCCTGCCACCACAAGGCATCGCTAGGCAGGGGCGATGGTGCCATTCGAGTTAAGATGATTGGCAAGGCTAGTAAGGATCACTACGGAGAGGGGCTTAAGAAGAGGCTACTCGAGAACGATATCGATGTCTCTGGCCTTAAAGAGGTGCCAAGCTTATCATCCAGCAAACGCGTCGTCATGATCAATGAAGAAACCCACGATAGTCGGTGTGTGTTTAGCCCGGGGACAACAGCGGCCTGGAAGAAGGAGGATTTCAGCTACCCTGAGCAATTTGGAGGCGAAGAATGGCCGAACTTGATCGTAGCGCAGATGGAAATCGATAAGGAGGTCGTTGAGACGATGATTGAAACTGCTGGTCACGCTGGTATCCCATTCTGCTTGAATGCCGCGCCAGCGAGCCCGATCAACCCCGAACTTTATAGGTTCATCACGCATCTCGTGGTCAACGAGTTCGAGGCTGCGATAATGTCCGGCCGTATGCCGGATAATGTGACGGAGAGCACCTGGCCAAGTATTGCCCAGGACTTCCTGAACGTTGGGGTCGAGAACGTGGTTATCACATTGGGTGCAAAAGGTGCCTTCTACGCCGATAAAAAGGTCTCCGGGCACTGTGCTGGATATCCCGTCTCCGTCGTGAATACAACCGGAGCAGGGTGGGTGGTCCATTCTCTTTATATTCAAATGATGTCACAGACTAATACAAGTGATTAGCGACACCTTTACAGGTGCGTATGCGGCCGACTATGTGCGTCAGATATCCAGTGCATCTGGAGAATGGGATATTGAGAGTGCCGTCGTTCGCGCGAACAAAGCTGCTGCTATCTCTGTTGGGAGGATGGGCGCTCAGGGGCACATTCCTTGGGCGGATGAAATTGATCAGTTTGACATAATGGCAGAGATGACTTTTGATTAATCAAGGCAAGCGCCTGTTAATAGTTTGGAAATACCTATGAGATCGTTTGCCCTATCCGCTCATCACCGCTCTGCGATCACGCCGAGAATTGATCTGAAAGGTGCCGGACCGAACGGCGGGAGAGCGGAGGGCCGCGCAGGCACCGGTCCCCGGGTGGAGTCCAAGTTATCGAAAAGAGGATCAAGGAGGGAATTCGTCCCAGGAATTCATGTGACTTTGGTGTAGTATTGTGATGCTGGCCATGACTGAAGGGGCCTAGATCGAGAGGATGTGCAGCGCAAAAGATCGTGGGGTGTTCAGCCGCAATGCGAGGGTGTGCTTTTGCCAGCTTCCGACCTCGGCATAGCCCCTGGAGAAGCCAGTTGCCCCATCTCTCTGTCTTCCGTCTGCTAGTATTCAAAGATGCAGCGTTCCCAGAACTTTTGGAGAGAACAGTATCAATCTGACAACGCCACTAGAATGAGGTTCAAAAGTCCACGACGAGTGTGGATGAGTGAGTATCCTGCAGCTGCAGTAAGTTCTGCTTCGGAAGCAAGGTCATCATCAAAAGGACGCCGAAAGCTCGCGCCTTGTAAACGAGAACGAAATGTCTGTACTCTGTAGCCCCTCGTGCCCCTCATCGCGCCGTGGTTCCTGGTGGCTGCGTGGCTTGCACATGTGGTAGCCCAGCACATGCGCACCCCCGGCCGCCCCTCCTTCTAGAACATGTGCAGATCTACCTCCCCGATCGGGATAGCAACCATAATGTCGGATATTCGATAGTGCCATTCTTGTTGAACTTCTTTTAACATTCTCCAGGCTCCAAGTTCGTCTGGTCACTCTGGTGTGCTTCGAATACCTTCCTATGTGGTCCTAGATCTTGCGTTTGGGTTTTGCGCCCATATCCAGAGAAATGTGCTCATTAGTCACCAAATAGGTACTTAGGCAGCCTGGATTGGTCGATGGACCGGATGGAGCATGGTGGATATGCGTACGAGACCTTCATCATTCTGTTACGCACTGGTTTGAGAGGAATAAGTTGCAGGATATTCAAGAGACGCGACATGCCGTCAGCATGAGACCAGATGAGGCAATGGTGCAGGGTGTCTCGGCCTCGGATGTGCCCTTGAAGCCCGCCCGGGGTGCCGCTCCGGCGACGTTGGCGGAGAGGAGAAAGGGAGCTTGCTGATCTTCATCGGGTAGAGACATTCGAACCAACAGCTCCTCGCGTCAGCAAATGAGTCGATCATTTGATTAGCTGACGGGCTTGGAGTCTTGGATCTTGGGCGTAAGGCGTGCCTGGGAGGGCGCAGCTCTCCTGTTGCCAGGCGAAGTACTCCGCGATGGAGAGTGGGGGGCGAAGCTGGAATAGGCACATAGGATGCGAACGATGTGACGCTGCAGATGAATGTTTCTTACTTGTAGAGTTGTTTGCTTGCCTGCTGGTAAAGGTCGAGGATCCAGACTTGGCTCAAATCTTAATGCGCATGCGGGTGAAATTGTTGGTTCCTCTCGTTGCCCGACTGCTCGTGATCGGGCAAATGCGGCGGTGACTGGCATTGAGGATATCTTGTGGAACGTAAGACCTATTGGACCTTTACCATGCCTCAATAGGCTTCCAACCTATGGTAAAAATTGTTTCTCCGACAATCAATTCTTCTATACTGGAGTCAGAGGAGAAGAAGAAATCGATTTGATGTTGTTCAGTTGAAGGAGGACGAAGAGAGAACCTGGAGGGACTGAGTGAGGTACCCCTTTCCGGTACGTATCATGGGCTCCGGGCAAGTGGATCCTTGAACCGCTCAGCTTCCTTTTTAGGTTAGGCAAGGATCCATTAGCTAATACAGGCTAAGCGAGAACACACGGGCCATCAGCTTATCGCATTTACGAATGGCGCTAACAGGCGCCTTCCCTCGTGACACCCGCCGCCGTCTCCTTGTCTCCCCATCTTCTTCCTCATATTCCTTGGACCACCTCATGTATCACGACAGGATCCGCCTATGATTCTCACCGGTACCTGAACGAGCGGGGAAATACCTCTATGGAAGTAGAACAGAACTTTGGGAACTTTGTTTCGGCGACCATGCGGCTGTATGCGTCTTTTCTGCAACATCCTCAAGCCATGAACGCCATGAACGCCAAAGACGCCACCATCGATGCGGCCCAGCTCTCTTCAACGACATCGGTCACCAACTCCCGTGTCAGTAGCGATGGCTGCTTTCTTATTGTCAATGTCTCGACTATGCGACAATGATAATATCCGTACGCAGATATGAATAGCAGCATACCGGACCGGTGCCTGAACCTGCATTGGAGTGCGACAGGTCCACAGGGTGGCACATAACCATTGCCATGTGCCCTTGAAGCAACAAGTACAACCTCTTGGCTGCCTTGCCACACATGATAGCTTCATCAACCCGTCGACGCGGTGTCTAGTTCGATAACATCGGACGACGAAATACGTGCTGGCTACGAAGCAGTTCTCTCAAAGGATCGTCTGGCGAGATGCCCCCCGTGCCCAGTTCTGGCCCAAGTGCTCTGCCCTGAACTGTCGAACTGCACCCAGACACAGACCATCCACCACCCACGCTATCAAGACAATACTAGGCCTTGATACCACCTCTTGGCATGCACAACGGCCGGGTTGTGGAGGACATCTCAAGGCGGTAGGTGTCCAACGAACGGCGCACCCGTACCGCACGCCATTCGCACTATTGGACCCCGCCTGGCCTGCATCCTCTGCGCCGTGCCATCCACTGCATCCCAACGAGGAAGCTCATCCAAGTCTTGGCGGCTCTCCGAATGAACAACCTCCATTGACCGGCATCAACGTCCAAGACTGCGACTCGCCCGTCTGGACCGTTGCGAAATTACACTCTCGTTGTTCGCCCCAGATAGCACGGCCCGCGCCTCATGGGTCGCACCATTCAACCGCTGGGCGAGCATGCCCATTCTCTCTCTGTCTCTCTATGCTTCGGCTTCCCCATCCCCCAGTCTCTGGACCTTGCACCAAAGCACCCGATGCTCAACGCGACTCTGCACCTGGCCATGCAACTAAACATGCGCACACAAGATAGATGCAGCTAGCTGCGTACAACTTGGTAGCTCCGGCCAATGAGCATGCCTATGAATCCTGGATATCACGTCTTCAACAGGGAATATGAGCAAGATAGCTTCATCTTCCTTGTGCTACCTCTCATAACGTCTCTTGCTATGCCGAGCTTGAGATTGGCCGCACTGCTAAGCAGGCATGGGCTCATGGGCATCTGCCTCCCGGAATCGGCGACGCCACCTTACGGGCATCTGTTCGTCAGCGAGAAGCGTGAGATAAGGACTACTTAAACCACGCCGCCGCCGCGATGCCATCTTGACATGGTTTCCTTCGGTAGCTTTGCGCTCTCTCACCCTCGTTCATACCAAGGCAAGACCCAGCACCTGGCAAGATGCGCATCTCGGCCACTGTTTCCGCCTTCGCCCTCGCTCTCCACCTTGGAGGCGTTGCGGCCCTCGGCCCTCGCCAAGAAGCCGGTGACGAGAAGGAGACTCCCACCTTCATCGCCAAGAGCTTCATCATCGAATACGCTCCTGTGAGTGCCCGCTGCGCGTGGCTGCTGCCCGAAGAAAGCCTTCCCAAAGGTTGTAGTCCCCAGCTGACACTCACCGTCTTTCTTACTCTAGGGTTCCAGCGCTCGCGTTCGTCGTCAAAATGTCGCCTCCACAGACGGCATCACCGTCGTCAAGGAGTTCGCCAGCAATGTCTTCTCCGGTGCCAGCATCGAGACTGACACCTTCACTCTCGACACCCTGCAGGAGCTCTCCGACGTCGTCAACGTCTGGGTCAACGAGCAGATCAAGCTTGCGCCGACAGAACCCAAGGCCGCTGCGCCTGAGGATGCTCCCACATACTCGACACATAATGCCACTGGTGTAGCCAAGCTTCACGCCCAGGGCATCTTTGGTAAGGGTGTCAAGGTTGGTGTTGTTGATACCGGTATCTGGTACAAGCACCCTGCTGTAAGTTGGAGCTGCACCCATCGTGAATGCGAACATACACTTACAACATAATAGCTGGGTGGCGGTTTTGGCCCCGGTTTCAAGGTTGCCGATGGCTACGACTTTGTTGGTGATGGTTCATACCCGGCCAGCGGTCCCAAGGCGCCCGATGAAGATCCTCTCGACACCCGCGGCCACGGTACCCACGTTGCTGGTATCGTCGCTGGCAAGACTGACTCGTGGGTCGGTGTTGCCCCCGAGGCCACCCTTCATGCCTACAAGGTCTTCTCCAACGCGGCGTCTACCGACACGGCTACACTCATTGAGTCATTCCTTGCCGCCTACGACGACGGCGTCGATATCATCACTGCCAGTATCGGTGGCTCCAACGGTTGGTCTAACAACGCCTGGGCCGAAGTTGCTTCCCGTTTGGTTGATGAGGGTATCGTCGTCACGATTTCCGCTGGAAACAGCGGTGCCAGCGGCCCTTTCTACGGTAGCTCTGGATCGTCCGGCAAGAATGTCATTGCTGTGGCTTCCGTTGAGACAGAGGTCTTCCCGGCCATCCCCTTCGAAGCTACCTACGGCGGCAGCGAGACTGTTCGCGTCGGATACCTTCCTGCGGGAACCTACTTCCCCAACACCATCGTCGACTGGCCGATTGTCGCCCTCAACACCGATACGAGTGCCACCGCCGATGGCTGCACGCCCTACCCGGCGGGCAGTCCCGACTTGACAGGCAAAATCCCCTTGGTTCGTAGAGGAACTTGCACGTTCCAGGTCAAGCAAGAGAACCTCGCTGCCCTGGGCGCAAAGTACATCCTCATTTACAACAACGCATCGCCCATGACGACTCCCAGCACCAGCAACACCGACAGCCAGATCGCCATGATCACTGCCGACTCCGGTGCTGCCTTCATCAACGCCATCAAGGCCAACATCACCGTCACTGCTGACTTCTCGGTCAACCCCGAGATCCCCATTGCTCTCGACTACCCGGCTGGAAACCGCCCCAACATCTTCACCAGCTGGGGTCTGCTGTACGACAACCAGCTGAAGCCTGACATTGCCGCCCCTGGTGGTAACATCTTCTCTACCTACCTCGACGGAACCTACTCCATCCTGTCGGGCACGAGCATGGCCTGCCCTTACGTGGCTGGTGTCGCTGCGCTCTATATCTCTGAGAAAGGTGGTCGCAGCGTCCAGGGCAAGGGTTTCGCCCGTGCTCTGTCCCGTCGCATCATCTCCAGTGGGTACGCTCTGCCTTGGTCCGATGGAACTGCTACGGACTACGGCTACAGCGCGCCCCCGGCTCAGGTTGGTAACGGTCAGATTGACGCTTGGAAGATTCTCAACTACGACACTCAGCTCGAATTTGAGAAGATCCAGCTCAACGACACCCGCTACTTCAGCCGTTACCACGACGTTACCGTCACCAACAACGGCAAGTCGGATGTTACCTACAAGTTCTCCGTTCAGCCCGGCGCTGGTGTGGATGCCCTCGCCTGGATTCCTGCCACCTCCAGCCTTCCTGGAACAAAGCGCGTCAAGACCTTTGCCCAGCTTGCCCCCAAGACGTATACTCCGGATATCAGCCTTCCCCGTGACTTCACCCTGAAGGCTGGCGAGACCAAGACTGTGTCTGTCAACTTCAACAACCCCGATAATCTCGGCTGGAACGCGACCGGCCTGCCTCTCTACGGAGGCAAGGTCGTCATCCAGGGCAGCAATGGCGAGCAAGTCTCAGTTCCCTATGCCGGTGTCGGTGCCGATCTCCGCAACACCCTCGGCGGTGTCCACGAGGCTGGCTGGCCTCAATCTGTCTCCACTGTGGACGATATCCCCATCAGCCAGAAGGCGTCCTACTCCTTTGACCTCAGCATTGAGGCTCAGGACTTCCCTAGGATCTTCCAGAAGCTCCTTTGGGGAACCCGCCAGACACGCTGGGACATCTACGAGGCTGGCTGGACTGAGCGCCAGTGGGTCTACCCTCCCGTTGAGGGCCAGAACGGTTATATTGGCTCGGCCGCATCGTGGGTCGGCTCTGGCGAAATCCAGACCTTTGACCCCGCCCAGTATGACCCCAACGATACCTTCACCTACCCCATCACCGACATCTACCGCAACGCTGGCGCGACCTACCACGAGCACTGGTGGTTCGGCAAGCTGGGAAACGGCACACAGATTGCGCCTGGTAACTACACCCTGCGCTTTGCCGCTCTCCGACCTTTCGGAAACCCCACACACGCGGACAACTGGGATGTCTACAAGACCCCTCAGATCCAAATCACGGGAAAGTACTAGACGTAACGGCTTAGTCTTACGAGCGCATAGTATGATATAGTAATGATCTAATACAACCATAATTGTTCTGAGAACTAGACGATACTTTGCAAAATTTTGAGTGATGTCTTAGAAAGCAGATTTCCCAGAAATATGTTCAAACCGGCCACTGGTAGCCGGACCCCGCCTCCCTTCACGAAAGTCCCCATACTACACCCTGATGCCAATTGCTGCAGCTCGGTTACAAGTTCGCTCAGTTGCCTCGCGTCCGCCTCACGCATGGCGGCATGAGGGTAGGGCAGCCTACATGATGCGGCCCTTCATCGAGATACGCAAAGTAGCAAAGATTCACGGATGACCATTGACGACTCATTCGTCGTGCAGATTGGCCCCGCCGCTAATGCATGAAGTGACTTTTTCGTTGACTGCATCGACAGAGGAACGGCTGTTAGTAGAAGCGAGGCAAGCGGGCTCACTTCCTCGCGGCCCGCGCCGCAGAAGTGGGCTTGATCGAGCTGTGATGGTTGGTAGGCAGGCCCCGGCCTTGCAGACCGAGATCCTGATGGGACGGTGATGTTCGGTTCAACAGATATGAGTGAGAGACAGCCCACGCGTATGCAGGTCCCGCGGAAAACTTGATTTTAGCACATGTCAATGAGGAGATTGAGGGAATTCGTTGGCCGGTGCCTTTCGTCGCTGATCTTGGCTCTTTTCTTTGTGTCGCTGTACCTGACTTCCTTGCGTAGGAGATGTAGTATGTCCTGATTCGAAGAAATATGTCAATTGAAAGAGGTATATCTTGGCCAAGACTTCCTCGGTTGCTACCGAGCATCTATGAAAACCAGAGAGCAAGCTACGATCCATACCTCCCAGTATCATTCTTTATAGTATATACATTCCGCATTCGCAATCCAACGATAAGATGACGATCGAAGAGCAGCCCGAGCGGTTCAACAACACTCGTAAAGCCGACTTCAAATCAATCTACAACCAGTCCGATCCCCGCGCTTACTTCGCGGCTTTGACGCCGCTCCAATACCAAATCCCACAGCAGGCACTTCCCTTTGTGAGCCGCATTCTCCAGCATATCTCCGCGAGGGACCCATCCCCAACCTCCAACAGCGATGGTACCGTGACCACAGCAAACAAAGTCAAGGTCCTGGATGTGTGCTCTTCGTACGGGATCAACGCCGCCCTCCTCCGCCACGACATCGATATGAACGCGTTGGCGGAACACTACGCCTCCACCCCAAAACTCTGCTCTCGGGAGCAGATCGAGGCCGACGAGCGGTTCTTCGCGGGACGTAGATTGCGGCGCGAGCAAGATTCGAAAAATGAAGTGGAGGTAATCGGCTTAGACGTCGCACCCGAAGCGATATCGTATTCCCTAAAAACTGGCCTCCACGCAGCCGGCTTCACAGAGAACCTCGAAACCCACGACCCCTCACCGGACCTCCGCCAAGCACTCCACGATGTAAAGCTTGTGGTGTGTACAGGCGGGGTAGGCTACGTCGGCGCCTCAACCTTCACCCGCATCGCCGCCGCAGCGAGGGCATCTTCGCCGTCGTCTCCCTCGCAGTTGTGGATGGTGACGTTTGTGCTGCGCGTCTTTTCGTTTGATGAGGTCGCGGAGAGGTTGAGGACGGAGTTTGGGCTTGTGACGGAGAAGGTTGAGGGGAGGGTTTTTCGGCAGAGGAGGTTTAGTTCGAGGGAGGAGCAGATGGCTGCGGTTGAGGATGTTAGGCGGAAGGGGCTTGATGAGAGGGGGTTGGAGGGAGATGGGTGGTTCTGGGCGGAGTGTTGGGTTACGAGGCCTGAGGGTTCGAGGGAGGAGGTTGGAGAGTTGATTGAGGGTCTTTGAGGTTGTTGTGAGAGATGGGGTGTTGGTGACTGGATCTTTGCTCTCCTACCTATCTTGTTGAGTGTAGACTGGAGGATTGGCTCGGAGGTCCGATATCTGGAACGAGCTGTATAGTCCTTTAGGTGAAAAGGGTAAGTCGAGAGTGCCGTCGAAGCAGTCTCCGTCGCTGGTCGTTTACCGTGCCTTTTGATCCGCAGATGATAGAGCCGATGATGTCGAAGAGACGATCCTTAGACGCCACGTAGCTGGAACCAATTCACAGTCGGACTTGGTGTTTTCGTAGAGTCTGGCAGCTTTAGAACCCAAGCAACCGCGTACAGGCGAGATTCTGCCTCTCAAAATAGAAGCGTGTGGTCGACAACAGTCTCAAGACGATTTCTCATGGTGCTGAACTGTTAGGTAGTCGGCAGGTTTGGGTCTCGCAGCAGAGCCGCATCGAACATGGCGGCACTGTAGAAGCGTAGAGTTGGATAGGGATGGGCTGTCGAGTGACGAGCAAAGTGTCAAGAAGAACTCGCAGTGTTCCTCGAGGCTGGTCCAATCTAGACTCGATCGATAAATCCGTCAGGTTGTTCAGCGTCTCTCAGCTGACAGAGTTTTCCGACTTTGGTGACTGGGACTCGGTTTTGATCCGAGAAGCGCTAGTATGTCTGTCCGTCGGCGTGGAGTCTCGTGAGGGGTCAATTTCCATCATGCAATTGTGACAGTCCTTCGAAGCCCAGGCTTGTGTAGAAGAAACGCATTGCTGAGGTACGGAAGATGTTAGCTCTTCAGCACTCGAAACGGGTTGCAAGATCGACGGCTATCGCGAGTCGAGTTTGAGGTTTCGGGTATTTGTCAAACCTTTTGCTTGGCCCTTTGGCACGCGCACTCTTTGCATCTCTGATGCTGGAGGGTGCGAGGGATTCGATGCATTGCGTCGTTTCTATCCGTTTCCAAGGAGAGGCCACCCCATCTGTCGCGGTTTGCATCAATGATAGATCGATCGTCTCCTGATAAGGTAAGGTCGCTCCTTAACAGCTCTCTAGCAAGTTGACAACTTTCACTCGGACTCAACTATTCCCATGTCGAAAACGGTAACAAAAAGACTTTGCGCCAATGCCAAGGCAGCAACTGTCATACTGGGCTGAGTAGATTTACGCTTAATACTAGCGTACCATAAGGACCACAACCAACCAAGAAGGTAAAGTGCACTCGGATCTCGAAAGAACAGGAGATTCTCACGGTTTGTCTCAGCTCGCAATTTCCCTCAACTGGTGAATGCACATAGTTAAGATGGTCGACTCGATTTGGAGCCCCATCTACCCACCACCGTGTCCAGGTGCACCTCGATACCCGCAGACCAGTCACACCACTCACAACGTAGACCCGCGCCCCTCGGACACGCTTACCGTGGTAGGGTACATTTCTATATGCAAACCGTTACGGAAAAGACCGATGCGTGTGGAAAAGACCGAGTAGCACCGACCGACAGATGACTGATCTGCTTACCAGGGCTGGCACAGACACGTAGGCCATAAGGGATCTTCATTGCCATTGGATCAACAATTCTTTACAACATTCCGTGACGGAACAATATTCAGCAGTAAATCTGTCGATGTGATTCCTACGATAAGATTCGAAGAGCGCCTTACCTGAGTTGCATGGGTCAGACCAGAACTCTAGGACGGACTTTTTTTCGGGTGGGTCGAGGCCTCCGAGCCCAAGCCTCCCCCTGTGTTGCTTAAGCCCCATGGATGTTTATGTTACATGAGGGACCCTTGACAGACTTGCATGTCTTATGCGGGGGGCGCCGTTGATAGTCTCAGGATATTGAAGCTATTGCCAATTGGAGGTTATCTCCGCGGAACTCGGGGGATGTTCCCCATATTGCTCTGTACCGATTGCCATTACTATATTCGTACTTGTGGTATTATCCGTATCCCTCTTCAGTATATCTACTGGTGCCGAGAGGCCCAAGCTTCCAATACTTGTACAAGGTCCCTATTCGCATAATCCATATTCGCTGCTATCATTTACCTAGTAGTAACATGCATCGACGAATGAATCATCTGGTGAAATCAAAGCAAAGGGACCTACTTCAGTTGATTGAGGCTGTTCTCGGGGCTTGGTCTGATGAACACCGCCTGGTGTCTCATGCAACCTACAGCTGTCAGTGAGACTCGTCGCGGCGCGGACGTCCACCCTCCAGTGAGAGCTGGTGTCACCATGTCATCCCATGTTATCGGGCACGTCTGCTTCAGAGCTTGTTTCTGGCCCGTAGACGAATCTTGCAGATCGACACTGACACGGCCGAGCTTAGACTTGGCCGGGGAAGCACCCCCTTGAGCTCGTGTCTCAAAATACAAAGCTCTACCTGAATTAAAGCCGTGGAAAAGACCTCTTTCCATGGCGCAGTCTATCAGATCGGATGACATTTCGTACCTCATCGAGTCAAATTTCAGCATTGCATGTTGTACGCGTGGCCACAACCGATCCGGCGATACATTGTGGCATTTTTGGTGATCTCGTGTGTGCAAACCTACCTTCACCCCGAGCTACAAAAGTTCATGGCCTGCCTAATGTGACGGCCAATCAATGACTTCAAGCCAGAACATTCCTAAGCGCGTCACGCATCGGCTATTGGCAGTATGCCAACCAAATGACTGGCTATCCAGCATCTGCTTTAGCGCATCGTTAAGTTCCTAGTGCTAGAAACGTTTCGGTCAGTGACATCAAACGCGCATCGTAGCTCATCGGGAACTGGGCAGAATATGCCTTGGAAATCCTCATGACGCGTAGCCAAGTTTAGTCAAGTTGAGACGCTGCCGGCGTTGGTAACTAGCGTGGCACAGGACGGGTCTTGGGGACCCAGTGTGGGTAAGCATGTTAATGATCCTAGATAGATTGTCCAAGCATGGTAAGTTTTGGGGCCAAGAGCTGGAGACATTGATGCCAGTGGAACGCGAGCGCGAAGCCCCTGATTCACTCCAAGGGCAGTCACCAATTTGTGCATTCAACAGGTGCAAGTCTTCGGCATTTAGTTCACAATGTGGAATGATGGGAAGATTCACTAGTAGAACTTACGTTAAGAGGTGACTCCCAAAGACAAAAATAGAGTTGACAGCCAAGGGGATCGTTGTCCGACGACTTTAGCTATCTCTCTAGCCAGGCTTAATGGTAGGAAACGTCAATCTACAAGCTCTAATCGTTAGTTTGTAGACAGACTTGAAATAACAACGATACTACGTTGCAAGCGTTCGTGTTCTAGGCAGCAGCCAATTTGAGTTTCACATGTTCCAGGCCTAAGTTCCCTGTAGATTTAAAGGCCCGGCGCTAGAAGCCACGGAGCTTCGGAGGCTTGAGGGAAGACTAACCTACAATTGGCGGCGGCCTTACGCCGTTATTCCGAATTGTAGCACAGACGACCGGCACTCGATGCCGAGTCCAACTTGCCGTTGGAAAATGTGACCTGGGCAGGGATGTTGGTTGTCGAGAGAGATCTGAGACTGGGCCACTTGAATCTCCAGACTCCACGGACCACGGGGCGAGAGCCAAGAGTGTATGTCCATCTCAGGGGAGACGGGGAAGAAACTAGGAGTTGGGGGGCATCATCGGCTAGTCAAACTCTTTTGAGAAACCCCGAGAAACGTGACGAGACTGATACTCGGCCTCGTAGGGCTGAAAGAAGCGTTTTACTCAATCTATCGGCGTCGCCGTGTGGTCCACGCCGGCTAGGCAGCTGTTTTTCTCTTCTCGGTGGGCTTGATTTGGACAATTTGGAGTCTTTAAAACTGCCTCACCATCACCAGCCCCATAATTCATGAGGTAAAAACTTACGTTTTGTCTGTGTGATTGGCTCTGTCGTAAAAGACTAAACCTAGCGCCCAAACGCATGTCGATTCTGACGAAGGGGCTGACGTCGCAGGGACCAGCCAGGGGCATACGGCGGCCGAGGGTCGCGATCGTCCGTATTCGACACGTTGGCTTTATATAGTGGGCGCCGCCCGAACGCGCCAATCTTGGCAAGTGTATCCCCTGTCTTAGTTCCTGCGCCCGCACAACCCGATTTCCGAGAGAGCCTCACTCCCAACGGTGTACGGAGTACTGAATTCAGCATTCGACGGCCTATCAGTGGCTACCTTGCCCTCTTACCAGTGAATCCTATGCGCCTAGATACGCTCGCATATACTATTACGCACACTACGCAACCGAAGCCGACCATGTCATTGGATACCTCGATCCCGGGTACGGGAGTCTTCTCGGTGGTACCCGCACCCAAGAAACCCAAGCGGACTAGGGCGAGCGCATCAAAGGTCAGGACCGGATGTCTAACATGGTTTGTGACAACACTGATGCCACTGTAGTTTATTAAAGACTGGTTCAACTGACGCCACCTACCCCATTGACAGCAAGTAAGGCTTCTCCGCCTCGCCCTACAACTATCGACTGTGCTGCTTCATCCTCCACGTAGACAACTCTAGATCTCCAGCAGCTAACAAATATTCCGTTCTCAGAGCCCGACATGTAAAGTGCGATGAAGCGAAGCCGTTCTGTAAGCGGTGTAGCAAGGACAAACACAAATGCGATGGATATCCGACCTCGCTCCCAAGCAAACGGCCGAGCCCGGCATCATCATGCTCGACCCGCTCGATTCCACCATCTCGGCGGCGATCTATCAACTCAGTAATGCAGCTATCGCCTCCTGTAGATTGGGACGTCTCCGGTACAACCCTCGAGAGGTTGATGTTCCACCACGTCAACCGATGTACTGTCCCGGATTTCGGAACCGCCACACCTCTCGCCAAGTTATGGAGCAACTACATCCTGCCACTGGGCTACTACTCAGACTCGGTAAAGCATGCCATCATTGCGCTCGGCGTGGCTCACAGGGGATTTCTTGAGAACCCATACTTTGACGAACAACCTTCCGAATCCGCCTTAGCGTTCAACGATCTAGCCGTGAGGCACTACCGAAAGGCCGTCTCAGAGACGATACAGATCATGGCTGATCCATCACC